CGATAAGCCAAAATTTAATGTGTTTTTATCATATTGAAGAGTTAAAGTTTGGAGAAAACCAAATGAAGCATTTAAAAAACAAAACTTGTGTCCAACGGTGAAGCATGGTGGAGGAAGTGTTTTAGTGTGGGGGTGTATGAGTGCTTCTGGTGTAGGCAACTTGGTTTTCATTGATGGAAATATGGATCATAATGTGTATTTAAACATTTTAAAAAATAATCTGGAAGAAATTGCTAGGTCATTTATTTTTCAGCAAGATAACGATCCAAAACATACAGCTAAACTTGTCAAGGAATGGCTTATATTTAAAATAGCTAAGCAACTTCATACACCCCCACAATCTCCAGATTTAAATCCTATAGAACATCTGTGGGATGAATTAGGTAGAAGAATAAGCACCCACGATGTAAGGAATAAAGAACAACTACAATTAGTAATTATGAAAGAGTGGGGCTTAATTACTCCAGAAATTACCAAAAAATTAGTTGATTCTATGAAAAACAGACAACACAAAGTAATAAAAGCTCAAAATGTTTTCATCGACTTTACAAAAATCAAATAACAATTTTATTTGATTTTTGTAAAATCGTTGAAAACATTTTTGGGACAAAAATGTCTATCTTTAATTCCGAAATGCTGTATTTTATTTGTTACTCATTACTTTAAAAAATTTTCTTTGCACAATATGTATTAAATGTTTAAATGATATAATTTAGTTAATATCATGCTAACATCTTTGCTGAATAAAAATTTATTGCATTTTTAAAATGTGCAAGATAGGTAGATGAAAACTTTTTTGACACAGTGTATGTATATATATATATATATATATATATATATATATATATATATATATATATATATATATATATATATATATATATATATATATATATATACATATATATATATATATATATATATATATATATATATATATATATATATATATATATATATATATATACATATATATATGTATATATATATATATATATATATATATAACATGTATGTTAATTATACAATTATAACTTTTGCATTCTAACTTCAGTTCAAAAAGTTTAATATAGCTTATATAGTATTATATAGTATTATATATTATATATATAATATATAATATAGCTTATATAGTATATATAGTAATTATATATATAATATAGCTTATATAGTATTATATATTATATTAAGTGAAAAAATATCAATGATTTAAAAAAGCAGTTAACGCATAAGAATGAAGTCTGTTTTGCATCCCATTTGTAAGCACTTGATACTTATACTTGACAGTGACAAACTTTGCTTAAACCAGTCATTTTACTTGCATAAAATTTAGAAAAATCAATGGAAGAGAGTGGATTTGTAAAAATAAAATAAAAGCTTCAGATTCCTTAAACACATTCTAGTCATCACATGATTCGCCTGTTTGCTCTTCTTAAATATTTCTGACTAAAGCAATTTATTAAGCAACTTCAAACCAGTTATTACCATAATTAGCAGAAATAAAACGCTCTAATTTTTTGTATTATTAAAAATGCAAACAGTGTTTTGATGCAATGGATATTGGTCCATATATGAAACATATATATTAAACCTTGTGAGTTTATTATTTATACTCACACATAAAAAAAAAAAAAAAAATTTTTTTATGATGGCATTATAAAAATGCCATTATTAATGTTAATAAATAAATAAAATTGTTAAATAATTTCGTTTTAATGGAGTTCTAAATTTAAAAAATACGCCTAAAAATAAAATTCCTCTTTAGTTATAATGTAAATAAAAAGCATTTGAAAAACATAATGCATAAAAGTTAAACTGTTAAATTTATTTCACGCATAACAAAAATTGTAAATGGCAACTATCGAGTAAGTTTTGTATTGATTTTTTCAATTGTAAGATAAAACCTGGCTACCTAATATGAAACCCGTCAAAACGCCAGATTCTTCGGCATTATTTAAAACCAGATAAAACCTAATCCATCAATAGATACTATACACTTATGGCATTTTAAAGTTACGTTACGTCTCAATTAGTTACAATTGGTAACAGGGTTACATTCTCTAATTTTTAAATAAATATTGATTAAATAAACTTGATAACGCAGTAAATCTTTGTTGTACATTACCGTATTGCTAACTTATTAATAACTTATTAATGAGCTACGGTTTTTACAATGCGTTTGTCATGATATTTTACCTAAAAATTATTTTTTTTCAAATACGCGTTTTGCTACTATAGCTATAGCGTATAGCTATACGCGAATTTAAAAAAAAAATTTTGATGACAACAATCAACGTTTATTTTTATTTTAAAATAGATTACATTAGGTTACTTTAATATTTTTTATAACAATTTTGTCAAGAAAAAAGTTTCATTTCGCAAAGTCCCAAGTTGTTATTTTTGAAACTTACAGCAGACTATTATAAAAATTCTATTAAAATATTTTATAACGTTACATAACGTTTTATTTGATTATAGTTTTTTGTTTTTTTTTATTTAGGTGCCCCAAAAAGATCTGACGGTCTTGTTAAGGAGCACCGCATAAGTGCATTTAAACAGGAAGTTCACGTCTTTTTCCTACCGCAACGCAAAAATGTGTCCAGAGTTTGTTTCGAACCTGGATCTTCTGTTTCGAAAGCGCCATAGCCGCTTAAATTTTTCAAGTAGTAGTAGTAGAAAATCACTTAGCAAAAAATATTTTTTTTTTTTTCTGATGATTCTTTATTGAGCACTTTATTTTGTAGAATACATTTTAAAATTGTTTATATATATATATATATATATATATATATAATATATATATATATATATATATACATATATATATATATATATATATATATATATATATATATGTATATATATATATATATATATATATATACATATATATATATATATATATATATATATATACATATATATATATATACATATATATATATATATATATATATATATATATATATATATATATATATATATATATATATATATATATATATATATATATATATATATATATATATATATATATATATATATATATATATATATATATATATATATATATATATATATATATATATATATATATATATATATATATATATATATTAAACTGACTTGATAAATATAAATACACGATACTGGCATGATAAATATATACTATGCCAGTACGGTGAAGCGAAGGGAGAACGGTATATATATATATATATATATATATATATATATATATATATATATATATGTGTGTGTGTGTGTATATATATTATATATATATATATATATATATATATATATATATATATATATATACATGTATATATATATATATATATATATATATATATATATATATATATATATATATATATATATAAATAAATTATGACTGATTACAATAATGTAACTAACATTATGTAACTACAATAATGTTAGTTACATTATTGTAATCACAAATACGTTAAAAGGTGTCGTAAATTTAAAAATTATTAATTTTGTGTTTTTAAATAAATGTAACATCTCACTAGATTTGTTTAACCCACAAGCAAAAACTTACATTTAATGTCAACTTTTTAGGAGGTCATTGATCATTGTTTTTAGATATTTACATCAAGGTAACTAACTTTTTAATATATAATGCAAAGATAATGTCATATAATATACAAAGAAAGTTGAAGAAGCGGACTTTTTAAGTCTTTGTCGTTTCGACTAAATATCGCACCTTCTAACATCGTGTGTAATTCCTTTCTGCTTTCTCTATGCCATCTTTCAAACACGTTTACTTCTGTCTTTCACTCTAAAATACCTTCGTTCTTCCTAAACTCACCTTACTCTTGGTCCGTAGAGCAGGTAACGATGCTCTTTAATGAGCTAAACTTGTCTTTGCGGGTCTTGGTATTGTGGTCTCCATAAGGCAATTAACTGGCGGAGGATAAACCACAGTACCTTTATATGAAATGAAATCCAATCAAGTCTTTTTCGGCGTACATTAGTTAGTTGGCCTATCTAACAGTACGTATTGCACCTTCTAACATCGTGTGCAATGCTATACTATTATCTATGCAGTTTTCTAACTTGTACGTTTTAGACATTGCTTATCCTTCAAGCATATTTATTATGCTACTTAGATACATATGTCTAAAATGGAATCAAATTAGCATGGATATGTGTGTATATGTGCATCTAATTATACATCTAAATAGCATCACTTAAAGATTAATTGCCAAATCATACATGTTGCAAAATTGATAATACTGAAGGCAACAATTTTTAGTCTCATTAAGTCTAAATTTCAGGTATTAATACGTAAAAATAACGGATATTTTGCACGTAGCGATACGTTGCAGTGTTACGTATCGTTACGTAAAATCTCACGTCTCGGCTACGTAAAAATAACGAACATTATTTCAATCTCTTTTCCATCAAAGTTGCCCATCTTTAGGTCAGTGAACTCAAACGCGTGATGTCTGCCATGACGGAATCTCTGGTAAATTACTTTATGCTGCACGGCTTGCATAAGTCAATACTCTTGATACAATTTTATTTATTGTGTCAACTAATATATTGTACCATCTGAATGGCTTTATGTAAACATCATACCCATTCTAACAGTAGATATCTCATAACTACCAACTGATAAACATCAGCAACACAATAATTTAACAATTGTCACAGTGTGACAATAGTCTTTACTTTTGTATTAAGCCTTCAATGTTCTAATATTAAAATAGGTATAAAAAGTTAAGTTTTTGCTATTTACTTAGCTCATATCAGATACTGCTAAAAACAAGATTAAAAAAATGGTAAATATATTAGCCTCTCATTTATCCAAGTAAATATAAAATGCCGCGGCGTGACCAATATTTTCTGATCGTTTTTTCATTTTTAGATCAACAATTCGCAATTCAGCTAATATAGATGAACTGAATAATCAATTTGGCATTTAATAAAGCTTTTTGACATTACTTATAAGTTTTATATCTAAGTTACAATTT